GTCAGCTGCATTCTGTGTGCTCGTCACCTCGTGAGTTCGTTCTTCCAAGAACAACTAGCAAGAGCTTTCTTCCCAAGAACACAAGTCCGTTCTTTACATTCTTGGTTTTGAGAAACGGCCATGGTTAGTCTACGGTTAACCCAGACTTTTTGTCTACTTGGCTTTAAAAAAATGTACATGTCTGCTTGGCTTTAAAAAAGCTCTGATGTCCTGTCCACTTCTTTTTGACATGGTGCTGCTGGTATAATTCTCGCTGATTATCGTGCTTATTTTTTTTAACCCCATTCACACAAGTTTACAATATCATGGCTGACCACCCAGCGTGAATATTTCAAGGCGACCGTTATTTAGAAATGTGTTACTATGGTTTCCATGGTGACGCGTCATCGCTTGTCACATATGAGACACCGCTGCCACAACAACAGTGAATGAATGATGATCTGCTTTTGTCATTATTACTTTTTTTTCAAAATATTCACAAAATTGTTTGCTATAGCATGCTGCATGACATATCTGATATTTTGATTGTCAAATATATGCAAGTGAATGTGTTTTGTTTAAACGCCTTTATTTTTCGTTATTTTTCAAATGAGCAGACCGCATACCTGTAACCTAGCCTTTGCTGGGATGATGAGCCTATAGGCAGAGAATTTCTGGCCGCATTTTAAGGGGTCGAGACTCAGGGATGATCATCGAGTATCTCGTTTAATTAATGCTTGAATCTATTGCTGAATTCTGGAATAGTTGTGATGATGATGATGGGGCCGGGATAATTTTAGGTTTTGGTCAAAATGCCTGATGTAGATTGGATGGATGGATGCAGTGTTGTGAATTGAGAGCAGTCAGATCATGGTGTGATATAGCGATCATCTGTGCGACACATATTTTAGCTTTTTTTCAATCTTGGCAAAATTTGTAGTGCAGAAATTGTGTTGTCAAATTTTATTGGGGATTAAATCTAAATTTTAGCAAAAAGACATAGCCACACATTTTCCCACTGAAATTGAACATAGCTGTAGTCCAGGCCTATTTTCCTCGGGACATTCAAAAAACGCTTAACGTGATAAAGCATTTTCAGTGGCTATGAGGAGCAATATGAGAGAGAAATTTGGTAATCATTGTTTACATTAAACCACGTCATGTCATGTTGTCAACATACTTATCTTATGAAGCAGAATAGTGGGTCATACTCATACTCACATGTCTAATGCTTTTTGAAAACCTAAGGCTTTTCTTTCTACATAAAACCAGTCAGACATAATCACATTTTTGTATACATTTTTATTTATTTACATTAGTAAGTTACAGTACATAGTCTTTCAAAACATGACCTGCACGAAAGAGAAAAAGAAATATGAATGCGTCATTCATTGTACCCAGCACTTCTGAAAATGCACTTCCGAATGCGTCTCTGTCCCCACTACATTTCAAACCAAACTGACACCCATGGCATAGCTGATATAAAACATTGGATGACTAGTAATTTCTTACTATTAAATTCTGTAATTTGGATATTATTTGGATAAATACTAATATTGGACAAAAAACTTCGACACGTAACAGCCTTGAATACTGTCTAACACTTGATGGCTGCTCTGTTAAGTCTTCGTCGTCAGTCAGGAACCTGGGTGTGCTCTTTGATACCAATCTCTCATTAGAAAGTCACGTCTAGTATCTGTAAAACCACATTTAAAAAATATAAAATTTAAATGTGTCTAAAAATATCTAAACTACGCATTCATTTTTCCATCTAAAAATATATCTAAACTACGCCATATGCTCTCATTGACAAATGCGTAACATTTAGTTAATGTGTTTACGACATCAAGGCTAGATTATTGTAATGCTCTACTGGGTGGTTGCCCTGCACGCTTAATAAACAAACTTCAGCTCGTTCATAACGCAGCCGCTCGAGTTCTTACCAGAACCAACAAGTATGACCATATTAGCCCATTTCTGTCAACCCTGCATTGGCTGCCTATAAACCATCTGGGGTGTTTTCTGGGTCCTGGAGGTATCCTGACATGCTGAGAACACCTCAAGTTTTGAAATAATGATGTTTATGCGTGGTTTGTAAAAAAAAACTAAAAAAATTGTCACTGAAATAAGGTCATAAAACCGATACTGATTATTTCTTAACAAGAATTTTGAAAATTGTATAGCCTAGAGTATTTGCTCCAAATCTATGTGAAAATCTTCCTGACTACTTATTCAGTTAATACAATAAAGTCTTTTTAAAAATATTTGACGTGTTTTGGGAAAGTTGGCTTTATGCGGGGAGGCGTTAACCACTCATTAATATTACTGCTTTTCACACCTGAGAAGACAAAGACCCTCCCCTAATGGCCCTATTAGGTGCTATCGGACCCTCTCATTATAAGGAGCCTTGCACAAAAATTAGATTTAAAAAAGAAGGGGTTTTAGATTGTTTGGATTAAATTACAACACAACATAATCCAAAAATACACAACAAAGGACAAATCTAAAGTCAGAGGCTTGAACAGTCACACTTTGTCATTCCTGAAACAAACATAACATATCTGTCATTTCCAATGTGTTTGATTTTTCACTTTACCATGTTCATGTACAGAGTTATCTGTGAATGTTGAAGTCAGCAGGACTCATCAGTGGGATCTGGTTCCTTTAAAAAATAAACACATGCGAACATGCTGATATCTAGAGAAACTATCCACAAGTTTCCGAGGGGCGCTCCTGTAAAAAATAAAGTGGGTGAAACTTCCGGTGAGGCGGCGGAAGTAGCATTCCAATGGTATTTTGTGTGTTAGTTAGCGAAGAGGCTAGCTGTTTTTCGGAGAATTATTTTACTATTTAAAGACGCAAATCTTTATGAGAGATGTTGTTATGGAGCTCAGGGACAACATGTGCTGTTCGCGGTTGTATGTATAACCGGACTAAACTAATTCAGTGGCTTAAACGTGATTGTTTTGAACATAAGCTGAAAACGAAATCACAGTGATCCTGCCGCCCGTCTCTGATCCTGCCAACGACTGTAACGTTAGTTTCCATCACCTCCCAAAAGACGACGAATCTTCCTGTGTAAATTTTTTTTTTAATTCTTTATATTCTATAAACTCTATCAGCATGTGATTGGCTGTTTGCTACTGATGTTACACCTAAACTCAGGATCAAAGCCTGTGTTGACAGAATACCAAATGTGCCAGTAATGTATTCAAGCAGCACATTCATTTATATTTTTGAATAAACTCCAAAGCACAATGACTAAGTGTGTATTTTTTATTTTAATTGTTTGTCAGCTCGCACAACTGTCTGTCACCATGCCTTGATGAGTATTGATTATTAATAATGTTATTATAATACTCCCAATCAACTACTGCGGAGGGTAAAGGTACTGTTATTTCACCCTTTTTAATTTCGTTGAGGTTGTGTTCCCACATCGTTAGCTAGTTTGGATCGCTATAACTTGAATGACTGTCAACTGTTGAATGAACGAGTGTCAAGCATGTCAAGTCGCGCTTTGTTTACTTCCAACCGGAAGTCGCGCCCACTTTTGACGCAAGGCCTCATGGGGCGTAGGAAACTTGTGGATAGGGCAGCACGATTTTGGGAATACATTTTTTAATTTTTCTGGTTACAATTATTAAATATATATGAACACCAAGTTTGTTGTGCATTGTTTTAGCCTATGTATAGGGCTGCATAAAATAATAACAGATAAATAGCAGGCAGCCTATATATAGTTAAAAAGAAACACTTCAGTAACACTACACTAGACAAAAATATATGTCTTAACATACAGCATGTTACTTCAAACGTTTCCATTCGTTATGAAATGAGATTGGAGAAAACCTATGCCTAATGTTTGGCATGTTTTGCTTTTCAAACACACAGCGCGAGTGACTCAAACTCAGCATGACATAAAGAGGAAATTCACCGAACCGATCCGAATCCACTACAAACTATGAAACATTAATGTTACAGGTCTAAACATTACAATATTCACCATTGAAGAATAAGCCTTCTTTATATCATGCTGTATTTAAAGGATTAGTTCACTTTTAAAAAAAATTTGCCGATAATTTCCTCACCCCCATGTCATCCAAGATGTCCATGTCTTTCTTTCCTCAGTCGAAAAGAAATCAAGGTTTTTGATGAAAACATTCCAGGATTTTCTCCATATAATGGACTTCAGTGGGAACCAAACGGTTCAAGGTCCAAAAGACAGTTTCAGTGCAGCTTCAAAGGGTTTTAAACGACACCAGACAATGAATAAGGGTCTTAAATGGTAAAATCCAATGTTTCCTATTTGGTATTTTAATCGAAATCATTTGAAATTCTGTGATGGTTTCCAACTTTTTTTAAGCTGGTCTGATCCTTGTCCTTGTCTAAAGAAATAATCACACACACACACACACACACACACACACACACACACATCATGCTTAATTTTTTATTGTCAAAGTGAACACATGAGTATCTGTAAAATTCACCAACATAAATGAGTTTCACAGCACTAACACTGTTTCTGCATTGATCACCATGGTAAACGCGTAATAACGGGGCAACATACACGCCAACATGCATTTTACTTCACCAGGAGATGGTGCTGCAAATTCTATCTGAATGAAGCTTTGAGTAATGAACCATTTTCTACACAATTGTATCAGAAAGCAATAATGCTTCGAAACGCTTCATTTGGCCATCACTAGGTGTGTGTGACAAACACAATCAGAGTTCTTTTAAAACAGCAATCAATTAGTCACATGACAATTACCTGGTCCTGTGGCACAGTACAAATAATAGTATACAAATCAGAATCAACAAATACATAATGTTTTCTCGATTCTAAAACTTTATATTTAAGAAAGAGAGAAAAGAAATTACCATAAATATACATTGGAATATACAGATTGGAATCAACAAAATCAATAATATATTATTTTTGTTTTATAATAAATATAAATTATTTTTATTTTAATTTATAATATTTTTGTTTAAAATTAAATTAAAATGAATGTAATTTCACTTGTGGTTTTTGTTGGTTTTATCACGTCAGGCTAGTTTCTATATCAAGACAACCAGCATGACCACCGAACAAAGAAACACCAACAATTCTGGACATTCACCGTAATGATGTGATCAGTGTTGCCAGATTGGGATGGTGATTTCCAGCCCAAAACCCTCCTTTCATATGCCATGTCATTCAAGGTTGATAAGCACCATTTATAGGAGAATAAGGGGAATTAGCAAATATGACTAAAATGTCTAAAATGACATTCAAAACGGCAATCAAGAAATTATTGATGACTTTAACCCTCTCTGATGTACACATTGCAGAGCATAACGCAGAATTTAGTCCTCCAATATTCAATTTCAATTCAAGTCATTCAACTGTGCTCTTAAGAGTTATACTTACAAGAGCCAGCCAGTTGTTTAGTAATGTCATGATGACTGATTTTATGGACTACATGCACACTTTAGTGTTTATTAACCAATTACGTAGACTATAAAATGTAGATGTTTGAAAACCGTCAAACTGACCCCAAAATAGCCCAAATTTTGTCCCTGTTTGACCTGCAGAATCAAATTCACACCCGCCCAATCTGGCAACACTGGATATGAGTCATCTGGACTGATCTCAGAGTTCAGGTCACAGTTTTCCTTCTTTCATCCCTCATATATCAGATGTCAGTTATCTGGATTGGACTGATGATGATTAGACTCAATCTTGTTGTTTTTATCTGTTTTCAGAGCATCAGGTCTGTTCGGGACGAGGTTTATTTACAGGAAACTGGATTAGATCAGAATAATTGTGCTCATACTTTCACTGAACAAGTTTACAGTGCGATCAGAGGATCTGGGTTTATATATTTCACATTTATTAATAAACTGACATTTATCAATTTTTCAATATCAATATTTATTTAACGATATATTTTCAATTGAAAAGTAATTAACACACATACACGCACAATGATCTTACTGTCTGTATGAGGATTCATTTATTCCATGTTATTTCACTGACAGAAGTTCAGCTGAAGTATTAATGTAAGGTTATTAATGTGAAGAGAACATCTCACTGTTACTGGTTTATCATGCGGCCCAAAGCATTATGGGTAGAATCTCTCTACAGTCTGTTCTCACTTATCAACACAGTTTCACTGATGATCCATAATAAACCACAAACCCAGGATAGAGTGTGTGTGTGAATGTGGTCTGGACTGTGTGTATGAGGCTCGTTGTGTCAGAGACGCTGTAGAAGGACAGAGTTCCTGCACTGGGATCCACATACACTCCTATTCTCCTGTCACACACACACTCTCCTCTTCTCCTGACACACACACACTCTCCTGTTCTCCTGCTGATGGGCTTTACAGGGAGATCAGTCTGTATGTTATTGTGTCTGAATGAGTAACTGGAGGGAGAGCAGATCAAACTCCAGGACTGATCATTATATCCAAACCAACACTCATTACTTTCACCCTTCCTGCTGATGCTCTTATATGACACTGATATACACACACCATCAAACACACCACCACTCCACTCAATCTCCCAGTAACAGCGTCCACACACACTCTCTCTACACAACACCTGATACACATCATCAAATCTGTCTGGATGATCAGGATACGGATGGACTGTGAGAGTGTTAGTAATCACTCTGTTGTTCTCTGTCAGACGGAGGAGTTTATTCACTGTGTTCAGATCCAGAGTGAGCGGAAGAAGATCTGATGGAGAGAAAACACATCAGAATCAGGAATTATGAATCAGAATCAGGAATTATGAATCTGTCAGATCTGTCTAATATATTGTGCAAATCATCATTATCATTATCCATCATCCAGGTCCCTCACACACCCCTCTTAATAACATATTGTCTAATCGTCTTCCTTGAATATTAAAGTTGATTATTATTCTCTTTATTATATTTAGGCCTATTATTATATTTACATTATTCAAGAACAAATTTACCTTTAATTTTTAATTTACCTTTAATTTACCTTTGGTGATCTTGAGCTTTTTAAATTTCCTTCTGTTGACTCAGTTTTATTTTGTTCTTACTTTCCAGAAACTCTTGAAAAGCCTTTTTTGGTAACACTTTATAATAACTACACGCTATTAATCATTTGTTAAGTATGAGTAAACAGTTAATTCATCATTTATAAAGCATTAATAGACATTAATTTATAAGCATATCTATAATGCGTTTAATAATTGTATTTTCATACTTTGTTAATGATCAATTAATAATTTGTTAATGATCAATTAATAATTTCTAAATGAAGTATAGCATTATTTACAAACCAGTTATTTAAGAGTTGTCAGTCATTAATAAGATCACTTAGTGTAAGTAAATGTAGTAAATACCGGTAGTTATAAAGCATTTAGTAGTGGTCAGTTAACTATTTTTGTGAGCTCATCTAAAGTGAAGACTATTCATGCCTTGTAAAGCATTTATAAAGGAGATTTAAAGACTCATCAATCTTCTAAACAGTAAAATGTATCAAACACAACACAGTGATACAGAACATACAAATATTTAACAGCCTTTAAATCTCCTTTATAAATGCTTTACAAGGCATGAATAGTCTTCACTTTAGATGAGCTCAATCATAGTTAACTGACCACTACTAAATGCTTTATAACTACCCAAATTAACCCTGAATTACAGCATAAATACATATTAATAAAGCATTTATTAACACACTACTAAGTAACCATAACTATATGTGTGAATAATAAGATGTATGAATGTACATTTAAATAGTTTATTAATCATTTACTTACATGTTCTAAGTAAACTTATGAACAACTGAAAACTCTTAAATAACTGGTTTATAAAAATGCAATTCTTCATTTAGAAATGATACACTGATCATTAATAAAGGATGAAAATACAATTATTAAACAAATTACAGATATTCTTTTAAATCAAGAAGAAAACATTGGTAACACTTTACAATAAGGTTCATTAGTTAACATTAGTTAATGTATTTACTAACATGCACTAACCATGAGCAATACATTTGTTACGGCATTTGTTAATCTTTGTTAATGTTAGTTCATGAAAATACAGCTGTTCATTGTTTGTTCATGTTAGTTCACGGTGCATTAACTAATGTTAACAAGATTTTAATCAAGTATTAGTAAATGTTGAAAATAACATTAACAAAGATTAACAAATGCTGTATATGTGCTATTCATTATTAGTTCATATTAACTAATGCAGTTAACTAATGTTAACTAACGAACCTTATTGTAAAGTGTTACCAAAACATTTATATCTGTATTTATAAACTGCGTAATTAATGTCTATTAATGCTTTATGAATGATGAATTAACTGTTTACTCATACTTAACTAATGATTATTAGCGTATAGTTATTATAAAGTGTTACCTATTTGGGGTACACTTTATTTTAAAATTAGGTTTAAAATAACTCACATTTTTATTTTTCATTTCATATTGTCTATTTCAATCTTTCTGTTGATCAAAAAGTACAGATAAAAACATTATTATTTCACATTTTAAAATATATTAAAATAGAAAATATCACATATTTTTTCCTGTCAAAAACATTTAAAAAAAAAAAAAAACGTACCAACCCCAAACTTTTTATTGGGGGTGTATATTCTAGATTTTTCTTTATAATATATATTTTGGTGTATATTATTATTATGTTTCACCTATATATAATTAAAATAGCATGTAAAGAGGAATTCAGTGCAATTGTTTTGTCTCAAGATGCACACCAGTAATGTTTTTTTCTAAGGTGCGTTTATAAATGCTTCTTAAATGCCCTAATTGAACTAAGGCTTAATCCTGGATTAATCTAAACCCTTTCTGTGAAACCAGGCCTACAAGTTTCATCTCGTAAATCTTTGGTATTTACGCTTTATATTGCTTCCAGTGCCTGTGTGTGTGTGTGTGTGTGTGTGTGTGCACATTGTGGGAGTTTTAAAGTCATCATGAAATAGAAGCTGCAATAGTCTTTTCTTGTCTATTGTGAAGTATATCCGAGTGAAACACATCTGTAACAAATGTATGCTATGTTCTCTGGAGATAAAACACTAATTTACATGATCAACTCTAAAACTCTTCTGTCATGTTTTCTTTCACCTTCTACAGGAAGAACATGAACACACTCAATGAGTTTTTCTGTTTGTTTTCTTAGTGACTTACATTGTAGGAAGTCGTTCCTGGTTCTGGGAACAATATTGGTGAAAGTGACTGTGGAAATCAACAGAAATGAAGAGTGTGATTATCATGAGAGAAAATGATTCCTACATCCGTTCCTAAGACATTTCTAATATGATCTTCTACATGATATGAGAAGATGGAGGATGATTTCTGAGAGCTGATGAATCTCCAGGACTTTACCTCTGTCAGAGATCTTCTTCAGCTCCTCTTTGCAGAAATCCTCCAGTTTGTCTCTCAGCTGAAGGACAGATTCTCTCACACCATCAAAAGAGGATAGAGAACTGCAGGGATTGTCAATTACATCTGTAGATTCAGGAGGAGCTGAGAGAGACTGGAAACTCTACAGAAAACAGAAATCAAAGCTCATCACCTCCACACTTCATCAATAACCGGCTCTACTGTCAGATTTGTGTGGCTCTTGTTGATCTTTAGTAACTCTCCTCAATACAGCACTTTCACAACATCATCTTCATTCTCATATCCATTATATCATGTTAGAGCCACGAGTTCTAGTAAAAAATCACTTGGATGATCAAACATCGGGCAATAACAAATGTCAAGTGCCTCAATGGAGTCACATTGAGTAAATTGAATCAGGAAAAGCCGCTCAAGTAGATTTACCTTTATTAATAACTTTGGTAACACTTTATTTTGATGGTCACTTTTGAACGTGCTGTTGACTATAAGTAACTTTGCAACTGTATGTAAACTAACTCTCATCAGAGTAATAAAAGATTGTCTGCTTAATATCTGCAAACACTTTATTGTGATGGTTCTCCAACAGACACTCTACTGACTATACTAAGTAATTTTGCAACTACATCAACTTATTATAACCCTACCCCTACTAGTCTAATAATACTCAACTAACACTCTAATGACAGTTAGTAGACATGTAGGTGCAACATTACTTATAGTCGACAGAATATATTAAAGGGACCATCAGCCATTTGTCAGCAGCCATATCACCCTGTAGCCCAAGACTGGTTGCCCACTGAAGCTAAGCAGGGCTGAGCCTGGTTAGTACCTGGATGGGAGACCTTCTGAGAAAGCCAGGTTGCTGCTGGAAGAGGTGTTAGTGAGGCCAGCAGGGGGTGCTCACCCTGTGGTCTGTGTGGGTCCTAATGCCCCAGTATAGTAATGGGGATACTATACTGTCAAAGAGCACCGTCCTTCGGATGAGACGTTAAACCGAGGTCCTGACTCTCTGTGGTCATTAAAAATCCCAGGATGTCTTTCGAAAGAGTAGGGGTGTAACCCCGGCATCCTGGCCAAATTTGCCCAGTGGCCTCTGTCCATCATGGCCTCCTAATTCATCCCCATATTACCAATTGGCTTCATCACTGTCTCCTCTCCACCAGTAAGCTGGTGTGTGGTGAGCGTTCTGGCGCACTATGGCAGCCGTCGCATCATCCAGGTGGATGCTGCACATTGGTGGTGGTTGAGGAGATTCCCCTCTCTATGTGAAGCGCTTTGAGTGTCCAGAAAGGCGCTATATAAATGTGATGAATTATTATTATTATTATTATCAAAATAAAGTGAAACCATAACTTTTGAGCAGTTCTAAACTTTTGCCTCTGCAATTCACAAGGACTCTTAGGACATTATGCCAATGTCAGGGTTTGTGGTTTATATTAACAGATATGAAGCAGATATATCATGCTAGTGCAATAAGTTCTAGCATTTGCCATTTACACCATATTTAAACTTTCTAGGAAAACACTTAGATAATCAAACATCTACAATATCATTGTAACAGATCAAGTGCATCAATGGCAGGACTGAGTAAATTTGATTATTTCTGGAGTTTTCTGTCTCATTCTGTCTCATTCGACACAATCCCAATGTCAGGTTTTGTGGTTTAAATACATTGCAGAAGAAGAGAGTGTGACTGATGATTGTATAATAACCGAACACACAGATCAACACTTCAGTCAACAGCTCATTCGGCTCTCATGAAATGTTTCTCTCTGAGTCTCTTGCTCAAGTCCACTATGACCCTGTTCCCTTCCGTTGACATTCCGTCGGATGACGACCAATGAGGTTTCGCTTAGAAAGCTTATCGACTTCGAGTGTACAAAACGAGCAAAAGGCAAAGAAATGCCTTGGGTCTGCAGAATTTGCCTAGCGTATCTCCGCCTTACCTCGTGAATATAAAAGGTGGACACCGGCAGAATACAGACATGTTTTCGCTTCAGAGCCAAGAGTATCTCTTCACTCCACAGCCATTTCTGACTTCACTCTACAAGATAAAGTCACTCTCTCCGGTGTTGGTGTGACGGCGATCTGTAACGAGTTCACATTGCCTGCTCGTCTGTGCAGTGATCTGCCAGTGAATGTGTTTCTCCCTGCTCGCTTCAGCATCGCAGAGTTTTGTTCTCCTCTCACAAAAGAGCTTGCATGCTTTTTTAAAGATGGCTCGTCCGTGCATTTCTGGTCGCGGTCGACTCATTTCCGATTTTGATGGGCACATTCTCTGCTCTGCGCGCTTGGGCTTGATCACGCTAGAGAAGCGTTTGTGGATGACTCGAGTTCTCCCCCCGCAGGAATGTGACCATCGCGTCTTTAGGGTCGAGACTCAATGAACTCGTTAGAGAGAGAGTCCCCTCATCCACACCCCGATCTAACACTCTCCACGTGAGGTGCTACTTCGGCTGTTGGCCAGGGTGACCTGAGGTGGGAGTGTGGAGCAAACCGCCGACTGTTTGTCCGTGGACCACGCCCCCCTCTTCAGTGACGCAACCCGCGAGTGTTCAGGGGATTCCCCGGGTCTATTTTCGGACGTCCTGCATGTTTCCCTTGACGCTTCATCTGTTGTCATGGATCTGAGGTTCTGTATTCGACAGTGCTGCCACTTTAGGGTATGCATATAGCATTTGTGAAGTCAGATCCTGAGATGACAGCCATGCTTTCCCGGGCCGCTGCAAACATCGTTTTTGTGGTTTATATCAACAGATATATCATGCTAGTGCAATAAGTTCTAGCATTTGACATTTACACTATATTCAAACTTTCTAGGAAAATACTTGGATGATCAAATATCTGGCAATAACATTGTAACAGATCACAAGGTCAGGTTTTGTGGTTTAAATACACTGCAGAAGAAGAGACTCTGACTCATGATTGTATAATAACCGAACACACAGATCAACACTTCAGTCAACAGCTCATTCTGCTTTCATGAAATGTTTCTCTGAGTCTGTTGCTCAAGTTCACTATGACCCTGTTCTTCTAGATCTGTTACCTGCAGGAACTGGATGTGATCCTGTGTGTGTGAAAGCTGCTCCAGCTCAGCGTCTCTCCTCCTCAGATCATTGATCTCCTGCTCCAGTCGCTCCAGTCGTTCTTCAGCTCGACTCACTGCAGTCTTTTCCTCATCTCTGATCCACTGTGTCGCCTCAGAGCGGCTTCTCTCAATGGAGCGGATGAACTCAGTGAAGATCCTCTCACTGTCCTCCACTGCTGTCTGTGCAGAGCGCTGTCACACACACATCACAATCACACAGTGAGCTTCAGTGAGTCCTGACTGAGACGTCTCTAACTTCTCTTGTTCTCCAGACTCACCTTATGAGACGCCACAGCCTCTCTCAGCTGCTGAAGATCTTTCTCTCCCTGCTGGATCCTCTGCTGGAACGACCTCTGCGTCTCCTTCAGCTGGTGCTAAAGGACAAACCAATGACAGGAGAAACATGACACAAATCATCAGGTAAACAGATATAAATCCAGTATAGCTGAAGTCTGATCGGTTAAAGATCTTACATGTTAAGGTTATTTTCTTCAATTTATTTAATCAATTTTATAGTTGACCCAGAAATGGGAATTCTTTCATTGTTTACTCATCCTTAAGTCTTTCCAAACGTGTATGACTTTCTCTTGCTTAACACAAAAGAATATATTGTGAATAATGTCTCAGTTTCTAGGGCTAAAACAGAGTGTGAAAACAGACATTAAATGTGTAAATGTATTCTAGTAGAGCCAGAAACAAAATGATGAGCTTGTAAATGATTATTATGAGACTCCTTCAAGTTCATACCTGTTTCTCTGTCCTCTGTGCTGCAGCTGATACAGTGTCATGGTTTTTATGTTCATCCATCACACACAGCAGACATATACACTTCTGATCAGTGCGGCAGAAAACCTCGAGGAGTTTATCATGTGTTTGGCAGATCATCTCCTGCAGTCGTCCAGTGGCTTCAGTCAGATTGTGTCTCTTTCCTTTAAAGAAACTCTCATGTTGTTCAAGGTGACTCTGACAGTAAGAGTTCAGACACACCAGACAGGACTTGACGGCTTTGTGTTTTCTTCCATCACAGACGTCACACTGCACATCTCCAGCTCCAGCGTAACGGTCAGCAGGAAGTTCAGTCTTCTTCAGTTTCTCCACCACTTCAGCCAGAATGGTGTTTTTAGCTAAAGCAGGTCTTGAACTGAAGGTCTGTCTGCACTGAGGGCAGCTGTAGACTCTCTTCTCATCCTCCTGATCCCAGCAGTCTGTAATACAGATCTTACAGTAACTGTGTCCACAGGGAATGGCCACTGGATCCTTCAGGAGATCCAGACACACTGAACACAGGAATTCATCCCGAGAAAACTTGGCTTCTGCCATTTTACTGCATGAACACAGAGACACAAACACACAACAGCTCAACTACACTTCAGTTTCTCTTTCCCTGAACTGAAACTGTTTCTTGTTTCCTGGTTCTGTGTTTGAGTGTCGTGTGCAAAACAGGCGTGTCTGTAAAGAGCTTCCTCATTCCTGGTCCCACACACATTGTGTTTAATCAGTCTCAGACACACACTCAAAGAATAAAAGTTACAGAGAAGCCAGACAACACCCTTAATAGTACAGTAAGTCTGTTTCATAAATACTTCACTGGTACCGCAGGACGAAAAACTGTGTCCAGTTCCTCATAGGTCTGGATCAATACACCTATCTCTCAATTCAATACTATCATGATATTTGGGTGCCGATACAATATCTATTGTGATTTTTAAGAATTGCGATTCTACAAGTACAAGCGACAAGGTTGGGATAAAATTTTACATCCGTACAGCAGTTGTACTTCATTTAGCATTGTATATGTGATACTATTGTGTACCTCACACTCACTTAATTCTACTTGTCCAACATCATTTAATGTGGTGTTTGTCATGTCCTGGACTGTCAGACCCTTTTGAAATTGCTGGTCCAGAAGTTTCCAGTTTGTCCCAGTTTTTTTGGTTTTGAATTATGATCCTCATCATAAACACGTGTGTTGATGATGCCATGTTATTTAGAAAATAGTTGTTTTTCCGCAGACTTATATACAATATACAATATATTGCGATTGTTCTTTTATTATTTTTTTAATACTAGACCCTGGAGAACAGTTGAATCATACACTAATACAGACTGTACATGATGTATAAGATGAGTCATATTTACAAAAACAATTCATCACATGGCAGCAAGTCTGTTGTCAATGGTAATGGTTTAGCGAAGTTATTTTCTCAGCGCTAGTATTTGTGTGGTCATGTGATCTCAACATGTAGATGATCGTAGGGGAATTTCTACCATAACATTCATATGACATTCCTTTCAAAATATCATTCATTTCTGTAGAGCTGGACATTTTATTAAGGATCAAATGACTGAGTTCAGCTTTGAGAATAAAACCATCGTGTTGTTCCTCAGTTTATTATAACATATTTTACCCGTCTTGTTTGTGGACTTTTAAGTTTCTGTCTCTGCCTCTTTTCCATAGTCAGTTTGTGGTTTTCTTGTCAAATAGTTCTGTGATTGTTTCCAGGTGTGTCTTGTTAGCCTGTTACCCTCTGTGTATATCTACACCTGTGTTCAGTGCTGTTATTGTCCTTCAATGGATGTACGTGTGGAAGTCTTTCAGTTCTGGTTTCCTTGGGTTTACTTTGGATTTGAAATCATTTTTGTTTTGTATTTTGTTTATTAGTAAATCTCCACTTTTTCTCTCCTCGTTTTCTGAGTTCACCTCTTCTATCTTCTTGTTTCACTCTGAATGTTTCTTCAATCTTAATGTCTTCACTCGCCTCTTTAATAATCGCCATCTTTATAACATTCTCACATGGATCAGTCGCTTCACTGGGAGCTTCACTTTGGACACTGTCATGTTTAAAATGAGAATAATTCACAGAAAGAAAAGTAAATCAAGTCCATGGGTGCATCTCAAGGTAAGTCTTCAGGCTTGATAGTCGGTGGATCTACAGTATGAAATGCCATCATTGTACACATGAATCTTCTTTGCCAATTCCAGATGAAACTGTGCCAAGTGGAGTGATTGACCCTGATAAAGAGGATGTGAAGTATTACAAGAAAATCATCATCCGTTGGTGAAGTCTCCAAGAAATATCTCGTTTCTGGACGTGCCAGCCTTGGTAATGCACTCACTCAACTACACTCTAAAAAATGCTGGGTTGTTTTAACCCAACTTTGGGTCAAATATGGACTAACCCAGCCGTTGGGTTAAATTTTTACATTACATTTTTAACCCAACATTTCGGGTTTGTCCATATTTGACCCAAAATTGGGTTAAAACAACCCAGCATTTTTTAGAGTGTAAGAAGAGAACTTCACAAAGCTTGTATTTCATAATTTGGTCATTTATGTTTGTTTTATGCCCTGATGAAGGTGGACACTATGGGAAAGATGACCAGTTCATCAGGAAATTGGGCCTTAAATGTTATACTGTTAAATTATTTTATGAAGGTTTCTATGATTGTATTAAGATTTTAATGGCATTTTAAATGTGTTTTACTGTAATAAATATAATTATGTATTATAATTTCATCTTAAACAAATAAAATGGTATGTGAACAGTATTTAATGGTTCTCTGTGTGATTTCATAATAAAAGTATACAAAATGTGTAGCAATTGAAGATGTTTAATAATATCCTATATTAAGACTTTAAACAATTACTCAGTGACGCATATTTGTGTTAATGCAAACAAAGGGTCACATTGACGCAATTACTAAAGCAAGACACACATTGTGTTATTTTCAGCACATGTTTTCAGTATCTAGTGTCCTTTTGGAGTGGTGTGCCAAATAACAGGGTTGGGGTTTGGGAAAGGGTCAAAAGTCAAGAAACAAAACTAATGTTTGAAACCAGTGCGGCCACTTCGTGACGTAACCCGACTGGAAGAGAAAGGCTAAAATGGAAAGCACTTCTTTTAATTTGTCTGGTTGAACTGATGGGTTTAAAACCCACCATCACTTTCCACCACTGGATGTTGCTAGTGTTTTGCCATGTATTAGTTAACTAGTTGACCTTTCACATTGGCTTCCCACAGTAAGTTGATGATAGTGCTATGTCTATGACATGTACAGACTAGGTCTTCTTCTGCCACGGGTGCTAATGATTCTGAGACAAATTAATTTGCAGCCTTTGACCACTAAGTGATGATTTAAGGCCTCGATAAACTCACGGTGAAACTCTCTGATTTATGATTGATTATATGCGGGTTGATGTAAATGACAAGCCTGAAAAGCATTTTCATAAAACTTTGTTTTTGTGAATAGAAGTGCTTTCTCAGTGTGGACGGAAGGCCAAAACAGAGAGAAAACGGATGCGTTTTCAAAAGAAAACTTAGTGTCTTTATGTCCTGAGTTTGACACCCTGCTTTAAGCTTTCTGTGCTCTGCCACAATCAACACAAACTTCCCAAGGACATTACACATTTACTGTGGATCCAAAACCACTGAAAAATGTCAGAATGCTATCAACACAACCATATTATATAAAATAATATCAAATCAAAATCAAATCCCTTTATTGTCACACAACTATATACACAAGAGCAACAGTGGGTTAAATTCTTGGGTGAAGTTCCGACAACATAGCTGTCATGACACGATGGGACGTATAACAATTTACAGCAAACATCAGGTTTACACAATTTACACATCTAATGTGCGCACAATTACTCACAGTACCATTAACACTAACAAAACAATAAATAATATTCACTACAATGTACAATACGTTATGTTGTGCTGTGTCGTTAATAATAACAATTAAAAAAACAGATAATGTATCCATATATAATCAGAGGATTTTAATCATTTTGAGATGGTTTCTGCTCCCAGACTTACAAGTTTTGCCTTTTTGAAAGAATCTCAAACTCTTTCATTAGTAGTTTTAAACATTTTCAATATATAATTTGACAATATGTATTTCACCAGGAAACCAAATCTGAACTCCTCTAGCATCTATTTAAAAATGCTTTTGTGATTTTAGACAGGAGCAGCGTGTGAACGGGACTTTTATTTTGGTCTGTCGGTGTGACGTCATAAACCTGCGTCGACCTGGCTGTCGAGTGTCGAGCTCATGCGTCTGTTGTGATTCGGCTGAAGGAATGTTAGTGGTGTAATGCATTATCAGTGTTTACATCCGTGCAACCAGTTCAGGCAAAATTGGCTCATGAAAAGACAAGTCTCACGTCGCTCCCTATCTCGTGAATAGGTTTATCATCAACGCAAATTCAGCCACTGGTGAGTAACTTACTGATGGAGAAACAGATTATTATGAAACTTATTAAAAAAAAAAACAACAAATATAAAATGATTAAGTGAATCGAAGCGCACTTGCGAACAAACTACACAAACATACTGTGTAAATGATAGCGTTTACACATCAATAGCTAAATGTTTTCTTGGAAATGTAAAACATCAATTCCTAATTAAGTGTCTGTATAGTTTGAGTCCTTTTATTAGTTTTTTTTAAGTGTTAGTTCTGAGTGTTTTTAGTCTAATTATGTCATTTTTATGTCCGTTAACCATGGAGCTTATACTATGACCATTCTATTTGAATTGTGTACTTTTTATTATAGACGAGTGTTATTGTAGAAAGTTGAATACTTTGTGGTATTTTACACAGTTACACACATTTGAAATTTATAACAATTTACATGTTTTTATGGCAGAATTTTATGTTGGTTCTGAAATCATAGATTGCAAATATTTTGCTTTTAAGAATACAGTTTCAAGATAAAATAAGCTGAAATTTGCTTAAACAATGATGATTGTAATTTGTTCTCAGCACGTAAAACATTTGTCTAAGCAGTGTTTGTTTTAAAGTATACTTGATGTGAAAGTGATTAGCATGCCACCGTTTTATTCAGCTGTTATCGAGTGTGTTCTGTGCACTTCTATAACTGTATGGTTTGGGTCAGCCAGTAAATCTGATTTGAGACTGGAACAGGCTGTGTTTAGATAGGCTAGGTAAGCCGTTTGGATGTCTTTCTGTATTCTCCTCTTAAACAGCACAAACTCCCAGTGAAGCGACTGAGATCCACACGACGCTAAAGATGGCGTTTATTAAAGAGGAGAGTGAAGACATAATGAGGGTGATTATAAAAGAGGAGAGTGAAGACTTCAATATAGTCATTGTGAAAGAAGAAGACACTGAGGAACACACAGGTTGGTTTCATTCTCAAATTTGAACTTAGTCACTTGATGGAGCAATGGATCTAAACACTGGCCTTTTTAAAGGACTAGTTCACTTTAAAAAAAAAAAAAAAAACTTTTGCTGATAATTTACTTACCCCCATGTCATCCAATATGTCCGTGTCATTCTTTCTTCAGTCGAAAAGAAATGAAGGTTTTTGATGAAAACATTCCAGGATTTTTCTCCATATAATGGACTTTAATGGGGTCCAGATGGTTCAAGGTCTA